TTGCCTTTCACCTTCTCGGTGCTGGGCAATCTTTCACGACCTGATTTTCTCTTCCAGAATTGTGGCATCGGAAAACCTTACCGTCGCGGCCCGGGGATTACCATTTCTGCCTTTGCCCTTGCTGATGTTCTGCGACCGCGGCCTTTGCCTCTTTCCTCCGACAAAAGATCTGGTCGCACAGTTCATCCGAAAGCTTGAGAATAAATGCAGCAATGCCCCGTACCGTTCAGACGTATCCGTCCTCCTTTGCCCTTGCCCTTACCTCAAGCCATACTCCTTATCTTCAGGCGCACCCATCGTGCTGGTTTGCGGGGCACCTCCCCCACTTTGGTTTAGCATTTTGTAGGAACCAGGAGAGACTTGCTGCCTTTGCTCGTCAATTTGCATGTTCCGAACATCGGTCCAATCGAGTCGTTCGCTACAGTCGGAGGTCATAGCGTGAGAGCCCGTACCGGTATCATAACCGTCGTCAGCAGGGTAGGCGGATTCCATGAAGTTTGCTTCTCCCCATAGGGTGAATGCGCATCGGGAAGCAACGGTCGCGCGGCCTGAACGCCATGTTGAGGGGTCACTGCCGTTGGTGGACGTTGGAAGCCTGCGCCTGGCCAGCAAGGCGATGGCCTCACGAACATCGTCTGCCGAGACACTGTTTCTGCTTCTCTGCCCGTCTCCGGGCTCTGACTCGCCAACATGGTAAGCGTAGTGTGTTAGGACGTTTCCCCGGCTACCACGACCGAATGTAGACCCGACGTTCCCTGGGGAGCGCGCGGCGATATGGCCCACCGATCCATTCGCTTGAGTAGTGCTTCGTGCTCCGCGTGGGTACGCGGCATCTGGTGGTTAAGGGGCTGCAGTAGTTGCACCGCCCTCTGAATGCTGACTCCCAGGGCAAGAACTAGGACAGTGGTTAGAAGTTGGAAATCCAGCATGCCGACTCCAGGAGATTGTACTTCAAGGCGTGCCATTTCGAACCTAGCCAAGGTTTCATCACAGTACTCACTGTTTCGCACGTGGAAGTCGATCGGCTGGGTACCTGAGGTGAGTTGTCGATCATGATCAAGATGCTCGAACTCCATACTTCGCCTGAGCATGATGTAGGTTGCCAGGTCGGTGTGGGTGCCTCGTAGGTTGGCGCGGAAACTAGATTATGTCTGGAGTCCTGGAGGGATGCGTATGGCGATCTTGCGCGCACAACCACCACGCCCTCGCATTTGGGCGGCTGCTTGTTGTTGTGGGGCCTTGCGCGGACCTGCAAGTAGAAGCCAGGCGCTTACTTTCAAGACTTATTCCCGAAATGGGACATTCCAGGCTGGGTCCCAGAAGGGGGAGTGGACTCATCGTTTCTTCCAACTTTGTGCATGTAGCCAACAGCGGCTCCAATGCTGACCTATATGACAGCCAGTCCTACCACATTCAACATTGTGGCGTGTTTGCTGAGGCGCATTTCCGCGCGAGGCATGTGTATCAGTGGACTTGGTCAGACGTCGTGGCTGAAGGCTCAGCGCGTTTCCGCGCGGCGTCATACCATGCTTGCGTAAGAAAAGAGTGGTACAACTCTTCTTTCGAAGGATAAGCAGGCCTGGTTGGTTTGAACTACTTGGCCATTAGAAATATGTTAAACCTTTTCGGTTTCAATAATTTCACCAATGAAAATATGCAAAACCTCTCGGGTCGGCTCTGCTGTGTTAGACTTGTTTCCAAGCTCAGGTGGATCCACAGAGCCGTGGATGGAGTACGGGCACTCAATGGGGAGTGTCAGCAGGACCGAACAGATCGTTTCATAGAGTTGTAGGTTGGGACCACATACGCAAGCAAACCACGCGAGAATGTGGCCAGCTCCGATACCAAATCGACAACGACGTGGCAATGTCACATTGTACATCGCTGCCATATAGTGGGGTGCAGGCGGTGGGGGATGCAAGGTGATGAAGAGAAGGATGGGGATCCTTTTCCTCTCGGATAGTACCAGCAAGCGTGCCAGTAGTCAAAGTGGGCGCGCGTGCCTGAGCCAAACGGCAGAGGAGCGCGCTGATGTTCCCCCTGGGGACCTCCCTTTCAAGTTCCTCAGGTCCTATCCCTAATCCCGAAGCCCAAAACACTGACTCATGGGGAGTCCCTTGGGGGCCCGGACCCCACATTATCAAATCTACTGGGGCTCCCCGCATCTTGTCACGATATTTTTTTGGCCGTCAGAGGGCACCAAGATGGGCCAAGAGGGCCCCTAGAAGTCCCTAAGACTGTCCGAGCGGGCCCATAGTCGCCGAACGATCGGTCTAAGACGCCCAAGGTGAAAGACGGCCCAAGAGGCTTCCCAGACGCCCCAAGAGGCCTCCAAGAGGCCTCCCAAGAGAGCCCCAACGGCCAAAAATCACGGATCGTCCTTCAATGTTTTAGAGATGTGGACGTTCTCGCCTTTTCGGCTTCCCGATGCTCCAAGATGGCCCAAGGGGCGCCCAAGATGGCGTTAAAGCGGCCTGAGAGGCCTCGAATAGGACCCCGA